AATTTTTGTTTATTAACTTGCATTTAGATGCATATGTATCCAGCAAATACATCGCTTTTTTTTACTGGATTTCTTAAAAATAAATAGCAGTTGAACTGTGGGCTTTCTAGTATTCCTCAACTGATATGTTCTGAAGCAATTCCAACAGTAGTTTTCAAATTTATGACCTATTTTTCAGAGAAATTTTACCAAAACTAATACCTTACCACCACTTGCACCAAATTCTCTCGCAGCATGAGAGCACTGTACTCTCGCAATTGTTATGTGCAACAATTTAATAAAATAACAATGTAGAATATTTAACCTTTACCACAATGCTACACATTCTATCTTTTTCTCCCGGTTTCAATGACAGATCAATCCCAATTCATTTCAAATAAGTCATTGCAGCTGTTCTGACAATGTGATTTCTTCACTTCGGTGTTATTGCCCCCACTATTTCCCGATAAGTTGCATGTGTGAGAATTCAAACAGAGTTATAAAACTGATTAATAAAATGAAGGTTTTATTAAATCTAAAAAAACGGCTCTAATCTGGACCTTAATCCAAACTATTTTTTGCTCGTGAATTATTATAAGAACTCTTCCCTTCCAAATAATAATTTTGTTAAAGTAATAACATGTACATTATTTTCACAAATTTTCTGCATCAACAAATACAGTTTATTATTAATTAATTAATTATTAATTAACTTATTAATTAATTATAATAAACATTTGTCACTTTTATGTCAAAAAGGGAAACTGAACTTTCCTTCGCAAGAGCTTATCTCTAATTTTGACAAACATCTGGACGTCTAGCTCATTAGTACATCCATCAGCTGGTACAAACCTCAAATTTCTATTGGAAGAAACTTATGCATTAAAAGGACAATTTCCCATTATTTGAGGCAGTTTCTGGCCATTGATAAGTTAATCCTTTCCTTTGTGCTCCATCCCAAAGACATCCTCCACATCCTCGTCAAGCCGACGACCACCTAACATCACCTCACTTTACCCAGACAGAAGAAGATTAGTGACAGACCAATATTATTTCCACTTGATGCACCGAAACCATCTTTGTCAATCAAGGTAGTGTGTTTTATTGATGTAAACTCTCTCTGTCTCTCTCTCTCGTGTCCAGATAGGAACTTTAGAATTTCTTTATGTATGATAGCATCCTTGTGTTTCATTATAATTTGGTTTCATTAAACTTGGTTTTATTTCGATTAAAATTTCGTTCTTGATCTCAAATATCAGCCGAAGTCTTATCCCAAATCCACGAGTCTCCTCCCCCTTGGACTAAAGTATAAAATTATTATTTCACATGCCTAATGCATCATTTAGAATGGAAGATCACAACAACTTCCTGTTCACAAATAAAATATTACTATAATCCCATCCAGTGCCATTGTGGGCAGATCTCTCGGATATAACACCAAATACGGGTGAGAGATAACCCTATTGTAACCCCAGTTTTCCATACATGATAAGAAATTTAATACTTTCATAATTTTGCAACAATTAAAATTTATGTTCATTAAGTAGCAATACCATTTAGTAATTGTGACCTAAACATTTATTTGGTAATTTTATTTTTTAAATGATTAAAAATAAAATTAAAGAATTCATTATTGGCAATAGTAGTTACCAAATCTAAAAGAAAACATTCCTAAGTGCAAGAAAACAATTTGTTAGTCATTCAACCCACAACTGACAGAGAAAGGAGTTAATGAAAAAAGTAATAAAATGATTAGCAGTTTGTTGCAGTTCACAGTGGGGGAGCAGCAGAGTCTATTACTTTTGTGGGAAAAAGCTTTACTACCCTGAAGTTGAAAAATAATAAAATCCTGTGAAATTTAACAAATCTGACATCAATAAATAAATGTTGAAATTATTTAGTGAGTTGATATTTGATAAGTTTAGTTTTTTGCATTTACAAGTCAAATTACAGAAAACATAAATACAAATCTGTTTTTTNCCTCAAATTTCTATTGGAAGAAACTTATGCATTAAAAGGACAATTTCCCATTATTTGAGGCAGTTTCTGGCCATTGATAAGTTAATCCTTTCCTTTGTGCTCCATCCCAAAGACATCCTCCACATCCTCGTCAAGCCGACGACCACCTAACATCACCTCACTTTACCCAGACAGAAGAAGATTAGTGACAGACCAATATTATTTCCACTTGATGCACCGAAACCATCTTTGTCAATCAAGGTAGTGTGTTTTATTGATGTAAACTCTCTCTGTCTCTCTCTCTCGTGTCCAGATAGGAACTTTAGAACTTCTTTATGTATGATAGCATCCTTGTGTTTCATTATAATTTGGTTTCATTAAACTTGGTTTTATTTCGATTAAAATTTCGTTCTTGATCTCAAATATCAGCCGAAGTCTTATCCCAAATCCACGAGTCTCCTCCCCCTTGGACTAAAGTATAAAATTATTATTTCACATGCCTAATGCATCATTTAGAATGGAAGATCACAACAACTTCCTGTTCACAAATAAAATATTACTTAAAATAAAGAAAAAAATAAACCTTTCAAGGTGAGGAAATTTGTGTTGTAAAAAGTCAGGTATATGATCATGTGATGCCCATCTCCCCACTTTGTGCAACCAAAGCAGTCAAGGTTGAAATAAAAGCCTAAACTCCAGTAGAAGTAAAAACAAACATTGGCATCTGTCTAAGACAATAGCAAGGTTGTGGCTGAAGTTTTCATCTCTAAAACGTGAACATCACTTACAAGATAGCAGTGTTTGACATTCGACATTCATGTTTTAGAGAAGAAAACTTTGGCTGCAATCTCGCTAATAAACTTGAACAGGAACTAAGATGACACCTTGTAATTTATGCTAATTACCTTCTAATATTAAAAAATTAAAATTTTCAATAAATTATAATTAAAATAAAAATATTTTTTACTGAGTTTGACTAGAAACACATCAAAAAGCTAGATTAAAGTGAAAATAGCAGTTTTTCGACGTTAAATATTTACAAATTAATTTTTTAATTTGGTGCTGGGATTTGCAATTTATATTTGAATGAGCACACGCGTGACAGTTTTTAACTGGTTGGGACCAAACACTTCATTGCATTTATTTATATGTTTCTTGTAGCTTAAATGTTGGAGGAATGCATGAAAACTTTTACTAGATACACTGATGTTGGAAGCACNCTCAAATATTTTACATTTTTGATACTAAATTAACATCTGAAGTATAATTTTTTATTTTTTTTATATTTTTCAATATATTCATTTTGTTTGTACAAAATAAAAAAAAATAATTTTTAATTATACAATAGTCTTCGTTAGGCTTCACATCGACGAAAATTCAACGCGAAGCGACACGCAATGGATAAAAATTTCGACATCGGATACGTTAAACTATTTTTTCGTACGTAAATCAGTTATCCAAAATATCAGTTATCCGGACAACCCCAGTCCCCAATTGATTCGGAAAATCGACGCTCTACTGTATTTACAAATTAATTTTTTAATTTGGTGCCAGATTGACTGGGAGTGTGCAATTTATATTTGAATGAGCACACGCGTGACAGTTTTTAACTGGTTGGGACCAAACACTTCATTGCATTTATTTATATGTTTCTTGTAGCTTAAATGTTGGAGGAATGCATGAAAACTTTTACTAGATACACTGATGTTGGAAGCACACAATGTGCAGAAAAGCTTGAGTCAGACAACCTATGTCCCCAAGATGACACCACAAAACTATTTGAGTCAGTTTTAAGAAGCCAGCCCTCCCTAGGCAAGCACTTTGCCTTGCTTATGGTTTACTTTAGGTTATAGTTTCTATCAAAATGCAAAATGAAGGACACTGTTAGAAAGAAGAAAACCATGGTGCATACCAAATATATAAGCACCAATTTAAAACCAAACTTTTGTCTTTGTCTAAAGATTGTGTCTACAGAAGTTATTAATATTTAGGATACTAGTTTAAAATCTTGAACTTTCTGGTACAAGGCTCGCTCGATCTTTAATTTTACAGAATGCTAGAAAGATACAAGATTTAAAATGAGTGTCCTAAAACATTTTGTTTAATAATAACAGTAGAAATCAAATTTATTAATGATCAACAATTATTATTTTCGGTTTTTCTATTTTCTACGGTAGTTAAGAATGAGTGATATCATCGTTTAAGCTAAAGAATAGTAGGAACGACTGTTGGAAAGGGAAACTTTGCTTAGCAACTTACTTCAGATAGTATTAGATTCTATACGATTTTCCGTTGCTAAAATATGAGTTTCTACTGTTAGTATTAAATAAAATCTATTTCTTTCTTTTGTCCACTGCGCTTAAATAAATACAAATGCTAAAAATAATGCCGTATAAAAATCACTCTTATCGCCAAACCGTAGGTGTACTTATGCCTCAGTGCAATGTGATTGTATCAAAGTGCCACAGAGATCAGTATTTCACAAGGATACAAGCAAGGAGAACCAATGTGCAAATTCCTACAGCAGGTGCAGAGTAGCAAGCCTTGGGAAGCTCCTTGTTATATTAGCCTATATACATGTGTAGACGGCAGTGGGCGCACGGTCTCATGATAAGGTGTATGGAGGCATGCTGATTGCTATTTTGCTCCTAAGCACATTTCCAAAAAAAAAAAAAAATTCCACATGGGTAGTGAAAAAATAGAGTTTGACTTTGAAAAGGCTAAAAAAGAGAGGTGTTATGAAAAAAGCGAGTCATTTTAAGACCTGTTCTTCGACAACTCTCTAGAAACAAGAGGCAGCTTTGTATGAAGAGAAAACAACAATGCATTTTTCAAATGCTAGTAATAAACCTGAAGCAGGTTTATAAATAAACCAAAAACATATGCTTGTTTACCTTAAATAAACCCAAGCTAGAAAAGTATAAAAGGTATGGTTTTGATGTTAGTTGTTCCAGTATTAGTACTTTAAATTATAGTGCTGATGTTTTATAGTTAACTTTCATTAATTATGAATATTAAATAAAACTATATGCATGTTAGTAAATGTTAAATTCATAATTTACCTGCTGATCAGAATTAGGAAACAGACAGCAAGACATATAACTTGTATGGGTACCAACTGCTTTTTTCTTACTTGAAACATCTTCTTCAAAACTTAGAGGATATACAGTTACTTTATTGTCTAAACCACTATAAAAATAATTGACAAAATAAATAAATAATACATATCAATAAATGCATTTTTAAACATTTTAGCTGTAGGAAATATCAAACTTTACTTTTTGAAACCAACAATACATTAAATTACTTACCCACATGCTACCATGTTTCCTGATGGAGCATAAGCACAGGCCATAACCCAAGTTGTAGGCATAGTGACTGCATGTTCCTAAATTAAAAATTTCTTTCAGTAACATTACTTAAAAATAAGCAAGCTTTTGACATCAATCATTATCAAATAAATTTATTTATTTATTAAAGTTGATATATCACCATTACTACATTGCACTTGCCTAAAATGAACAATAATAAGGTGAATTCTCAAATTGATGCAAATTTTGCCATTGACATAACATTAATTTTCATATGATAAAGTGAACAAAGAAAATAACAAAAATTTTACCAGAATTTGTTAAATAAAACTGTAAATTACCTTCACAATCCCCAAGAAATAAGTTAACTCTATTTCCAATCATGATTTTATTATTCATGTTAAAAAGTATAAAAAACAAAGTGGTATTGTAATAAATGTTCTATTTTGAGTAGAATAGATTCTCTCATAGTAAGCAAAGACAGGTTTGACCTCTGTAACGCTCTTCAAACATATGGTTTTAGTAGACCATTTTGCCTACTCAGAAAATAGGGGTTAACAAAAAATATTATGAAGAAATCATTCACTACAGAGACAAAATTTAAAATTTGAAAATAAAAATATAATACAGGTTAAACTTCCTTCAACTCAGAAGCTTGAATTTCTTCTTTCATTTCCTGATGATCATTTATGGTCATGTTTTTCTTCAGAGCAGAAGCAGACTGACAGCTTTCTGCTCTGAAAAAAATATGACCATAAATAATCGTCGGGAAATGAAAGAAACTCAAGCCCCCAAGTTAAGAAAATGACTCCTTCCAATCGAGAAATGTTTAGGAGATTAAAAGATATCTTTAGTGATGCCAGCAAAAAAATATAAAAGGTTGAACTTCCTTAATCCAGCAACCTTTTCTGAAACATGGTCATTGCCAGATTATAGAAAATGCCAGACTACAAAAATTGACCTTTAAGACCCTTAAGAATAATCACCTATATAACTATATGCATATTGCAGTGTTATCAAACTTAGAACCAAACTTAAAACAGGAAATAATACAATCATTAATGCACTAAACAAGGTTTTTATTATTTTATATAACAAAGTCCAAAACCTGAAATAATACTTGTAGTATCTATAGCTCAGATTACATCAGAAGTCAGCAAGGTCTTCATGAACAGCAGTATCTCAGAATCAGCAGTGCCTTCAAAGTATGCAAGTCATCAGATGTATGTACAGTACATGGAGGGAGAGAATGTGCAGTAAAATAGATTTTCTGTTGGAATGAGTTAACAGTGTTTTAGCAACATTCTTCAATGACTGTTGCAATATAGCTTATTACTAGTACATTGACTTTCCTTAATTAGTTTTCTTTGAATCAAATAAACAAACACAACAGATCTACTGGTGGTGGCAGATTCAAAACATGCCAGACTGTGGGAGTTACTGGATTACAAATTGCTGGTTAAAGAGATTCAATTTCTATTAATCATTTTTTCTGATACCCCACATCAGGATCCCTATTCCTTCTGAGTCATGCCTATAAACCCATTGTATCTGACTAATTACTGCACTGGCAGGAAATCTACATCAGAAGTCCATGGAAATAAACAAACAAAATGAGTATGGAACTTGAAATTCCCCAATCAACAATCTAGTATATTCTCAAATCTGAATCTCAATGCAATTGTAAAAATTTGATTTGCTACCTCTTTTCATTTATTTAATTATAAACTCAAATTATAAGAAATGTTTATACTTATTGACTTCATTTTGAATGACCCTATATATATAATAAAACTGATTAAAAGAAAATTAATAATCCTACTAACTACTACTAAACAGGTTAAAAGATAAGAAAATTAGTTAGAAAAACTAATTTCATTATGTATAGAACAATTTCAATTACAGGTATACCTTGCCTTACATCGGTAATTGATTCCAGGAGAGGTGACTTAAGTTGAAAAACGATGTAAGTCAAATTTACTTGTCTCTGAATATACTCGTCACTAAGCTAAACCACAAATAACCGTTCCCAGTTCTGTATTTTATTTATAAATGCATTTTTAATAATATGTGGTTAATAAGAATCTATTTTAAGCTTACACAAAAATAAATTTTAGTTTGTAATATAGTACAGAAAAAAAGTAATCTAAATTTACAAATTCATGTACATGCAGTACATACTTGTAAATGTACATGTTTACAATTTGGCAATGTTCACAGTACATCGCAGACTCCTTATTTGTGAATGTGGTTTGCTCTAAGACTTTATAAAATAAGATAATTTTGTAAGATTAAATAACAAATACAGTTATTAAAATTATCTTGCGACAGTAGAAAATAAACTAATTTATATTAAATTTACCAATATTGAGTGGTGCTGACAATGATGACAAACGGTAGATATTGGAGCTACCATGGAAAACACCAATATTGAGCACTTAAAGACCGCTAAATAAGACGACAACATAGAAACACAGATGTTTTCATGTTTTGTTCTCTAGGATTTATGTTGATTATATTACCAACATTTACTGTAAATGTACATATTTTAATATGACTTTGTGCGCTATACCACTTTTCTAGTGATATTACGACTCCAATATTTGTGGCAGATGGACGTAAAGTCGAATAAAATGACTTAAACTTGATTTTTATTTTTCCATATATTTTTTGACAAACGACGTATAATTGAGAATGACGTAACTCGAATTATACCTGTACATTGTAGTATTTAGCTGGAAATTAAACTATATTATTTAATATGAAGAGTATCAAATTAATTCTACTGTAATCTTCAACAATACTTTGCTGATATTGGTCACTTCTCAATATAATCTACCTCTACACAAACACTTATTCCACTGCTCTACCAGCTTTGTGTAATCAGCAAGACAATGTTAGCTCCCAAAAATCAATCCCTTCTGAAATAACTCTAGTCACTTGTGTGTAATTGCCAATGGGGATGTGATTGTCTGGACTGACAAGAGGTTGTAAAGGATCATATGTGGGTGTGATCAGCACTGATACAGACTCTACAGTTATAATAAACTGTTAAACAAATTCAAATTGGTTTATATTCGAATTTGTTTAACCTGATGATGGCCAACAGATTTGGCTGAAAACGTTGCATTTTTTATTAAATTTCTCAGCAACTTAAGGTGTGGTGTTTTAATTTATGTTTTGCTGAGTGAGTTTTACTTGATAAACAGAAGTTCGAAAACAAACATTTTCAATCTAGTCGTGATCTTCCTCAGGTTTACATCAAATGGAATGCATTTTGGAATGTTAATGTACTTTGAAAAAAATATTTGAATACATAAAATACAGAGAATTGCCAAGCAACAACAATGTAACTACAGGAAAAATATCAGAGAAGCATAAAAATCTTAAAAAATATTAATAAACTAATGTATCTGATATATTATCACAATGACAAAATCATATTATGTGCTTGAGTAGTTCTTGTTCTCATATACACTACTAAAGTTTCTCAAACGGGATCCCAGTTGTTTTTTTAACCCAGGAAATTTTTCTTATCCTGGAAAATCCCTCAAATTTCTTAAAAATTCACTTTTTCTTATTTTGTGTTAAGGTTGAGGAAATCTTGCAAATAGAAAGTATAATTAACTCATAAACTGTCAGAATACATTTGTATTTATTAATTTTAAACCTACTTTTTGGATTTTTAATTTTTTCTTGTTATGGCATGTCATAAATGGTCAATAAGCATTATGTAGCTTATTTTTGGCAGGACTCTCAAAATTCTTTACCTGTAATATCTGGAATAATTGTGCTTATGCTGTCTTAATTTTTAACCATGCCCAGTAGCTTCAATAACTGCGTAACGCCAGGTTGTGCAAATTGAGCAAGAATACAAACAAATACGAAGTCTGAAGTTTTTCTTCACAACCTGATTATTAAAGATAAATAAACTACTGAATTATTGGGCTATGATGTTTCTATTAAAGCACTCGAGGTAGACAAATCAAGAATAATAGAGAGCAAAAGAAGTACTACAATCTCAAAAACGAACTAGAAATCTTTCAGGATACAGGTGAAAAACACATAATATTTGTCTTCTCTTAAATGCATTAAACAATTCCAATCACATCAATTGAATCGGAAAAGGCATTCTAGGTAGCAAGACTTTCCATTACTAAAATAAGAATTAGATTGAGTGATTGGAGTATTGACTATCTCTGCTTTTTAAAATCTTACAAAAATTTACAATATTTTGTATAATATTTTATTTAAAAAAACGAAAATTACCTTCTAAGTTAAAAGTTTAATCTAAATTCAATTTTTTTAAATTTTTAACTCAATTCAAAGCATTTTTTGTTGTTGTTGTTGTTGTTTGCAGTTTCCAGCAAACTTTAATAAATTTTTTCTATTTGTGAAAATTTCTACGTAATTGAAAGGTAATTTTTAATATATATCTTACACAGCATTATTAATATGATTGTGGAGGTTACAGAACGTATTAAATTACTTAAAAATAATTAATTTTGTCCCAGGAAACAGTTCACTTTTATCCCGGAATCCCGGGACAAGCAATAGACTGGAAAATGAAAAACCCTATACAGTACATATAGAGTTTTCCAAGCATATGACAGGCATTGATCCTCTTTAAAGTTGATACAGTAGCCTTTGTTCTCCAATTTAAAAATTTCTATGGCCTCCAAGGTTTTCACATACTCAAGATACCTAGATGTTTTGATTATAGTCACCTTGTCAAATAGGATGTGCATTGTTATCAGGCACATAAGTGGCCAGGGTGGTGGTGTTTTTCTTTTTATTTATATCATATTTGTGTTCCACTATTCTAACTTTGAGTGAGCATAAGGTTGAGCCTTTATATCCTAGGTTGTTGCCAAATCTATCAAGGAACCTTGTAAACCCCTGGAATTCTGAGTAAGTTGTTATGATCCTTCCTATTTTTAAGGATATTAAAGATGGTACAATTGTATCTGTTAATTGTATACCATGTGTTTGCTATTTCTTTATATATTTCTTTATATATTGGTAGCATGTTGTGATGGTAATCAAGAATGATACATTGTGTGTTCACGTGTTACACATACAGAAAGTTTCAGTGTTCACGGGGAGTATGTTGTTAGAGAGGGCCTGGGCTAATAGGCCCTTTCTAACATCATACACCCCACAAACTACTAATTGCATTTTCCAATAGGCGTATTGGTGATTTGACTTTATCAACTATAAGATGAACTGTGTTGCCTTGCTTATGAGTCTTAGCAACAGCAAATTGTTCACCCCCCAATACACCTATAATATTTGCTTTCACTAAGACTTTGTTAATATTCCAAAATGTATTCCATTTGATGTAGACCTGAGGAAGATCTTGACTAGATCCATGTTTAAGTAAAAAATAAATTTAAATAACTCACGCCAATATTTGTCTAGCTTCTGAGTACAAATTCACTGAGTACAGCATTAATAAACTTCTTTAGTATTCACACAAGTACTTTCGACGTGTGTATAACCGTCGTCATCAGGCGAAAAGAACAAGTTTTTAAGAAAGCGAACGTGCAGGATGTTCCAAAAGAACATAATATTTAAATTCAAACAAGCGTCCAGAAATTTCGTTACGAACGTGCGAATAATTTTTGATATTTCGAATCTTTATATTTTACGATGTTAGCGGCGCATGCGTGGAGATGCTACCGCGTTTGGCGATACGATGTTGGGCGCATTTCGTTTTTTAGGCGCAGATACAAGGCAATCCACACCCCGGGTAGATCGAGGGTGGGAACATTGTATGCTTCTGAAGTGGCTGTGAGAAGCGCTTCCCAGATGAACACAAGTCTTCGATTGTTGCAGCATTTAATTATTGCCGTTCTGGGCCATAACGGGTTGTATCCTTGCTCGAGAACTTTTTTAGCGAGTTCTGTAGAGCATCTTCCTTTAGCTATATCTTCCTGATGCTCAGCAAGGCGGGAGGCGAGCATTCTTGTTGTTGCTCCTATATATCTTGTAACTTCGCCCGTTGCCGGATTTTCTAGGTGTATCGTATAAACCCCTGACTTTTCTAAAGTGGTTAGCCTGTCCCGATCGTTGCAGATACATCTGCGTAAGTTTGGTAGGGGGGTTATGGGTAGTATGAAATTATACCGCCGAAATATGCGGCTGATGCGTATAGAAGTTGGTCCAAGATACGGCAATGGAGACTGGATTATGGATGCTTTTTCTTTTCTGTACAACGTGGTACATGGGTATAGGGCCTCTTTTACTTTACGGAGCACATGTTCATATTTACCATACGTAAACCCTGCAAGAGATACCGCTGTTCTGATGATGTCTAATTCGATTTTTGTTGCTAGTTGCGTCGACGGAAGTAGTAATGCCCTTCTAATAAGTGCAGCGATGGCGGCATTAACGTACCGCGACGGTTGAAAAGCATCTGCCGGGATAATATGCGGTAACAGGTCGGACTTGTGATGAACAGAAAATTGCGGCCCCTCAACCGACTTTTTTATAAATAGGTCCAGGAACGCTATTGCATCCTCATTCTCCCTCTCCCAGGTGAAACTGATAGTAGGGTATATGCTTGACAGTTGCTGCACAAACTTGATAAATTCCTCCTCTGTATCCTCCCATACTATTAGGATATCATCAACATAACGTAAGTATAGAGCCGGATACTTGATGGTAAGGGGAGAGTTGAAAATTCTACGCTCGATTTCTCTCATAATGAGCTCGGCCAAGACTGCAGATAGCGGGGAGCCCATAGGAACTCCTTGTTTCTGCAAGTAGATGTTCTTGTTGAAGAGGAAATAGTTGTGCTCAGTGGTGAAAGACAGCGCATCACGTATGTCTAGCACTTGCTGTACACTAAAACTCTTTTTGATGATCAAGGCATTAGCAAGCATGACGGCTTCGAAATGCTTCGAAATGCCATCGCTGCACTTGTTAGAAGAGCATTACTACTTCCGTCGACGCAACTAGCAACAAAAATTGAATTAGACATCATCAGAGCAGCGGTATCTCTTGCAGGGTTTACGTATGGTAAATATGAACATGTGCTCTGTAAAGTAAAAGAGGTCCTATACCCATGTACCACGTTGTACAGAAAAGAAAAAGCATCCATAATCCAGTCTCCATTGCCGTATCTTGGGCCAACTTCTATACGCATCAGCCGCATATTTCGGCGGTATAATTTCATACTACCCATAACCCCCCTACCAAACTTACGCAGATGTATCTGCAATGATCGGGACAGGCGTTTATACGATACACCTAGAAAATCCGGCTACGGGCGATGTTACAAGATATATAGGAGCAACAACAAGAATGCTCGCCTCCCGCCTTGCTGAGCATCAGGAAGATATAGCTAAAGGAAGATGCTCTACAGAACTCGCTAAAAAAGTTCTCGAGCAAGGATACAACCCGTTATGGCCCAGAACGGCAATAATTAAATGCTGCAACAATCGAAGACTTGTGTTCATCTGGGAAGCGCTTCTCACGGCCACTTCAGAAGCATACAATGTTCCCACCCTCGATCTACCCGGGGTGTGGATTGCCTTGTATCGGCGCCTAAAAAACGAAATGCGCCCAACATCGCATCACCAAACGCGGTAGCATCTCCACGCATGCGCCGCTAACATCGTAAAATATAAAGATTTGAAATATCAAAAATTATTCGCACGTTCGTAACGAAATTTCTGGACGCTTATTTGAATTTAAATATTATGTTCTTTTGGAACATCCTGCACGTTCGCTTTCTTAAAAACTTCTTGTTCTTTTCGCCTGATGACGACGGTTATACACACGTCGAAAGTACTTGTGTGAATACTAAAAAAGTTTATTAACGCTGTACTCAGTGAATTTGTACTCAGAAGCTTGACTAGATCAAAAACATTTCTCTTCAAACTTTTGTTTATCATTAAACAGTACTGGAAACAAAAAAAAAGGCTCTAAGTTGAATGAGGTTTTTATTAGTATTACTTTTCAGTCTAATTTGTTGTGAAGTTATTTCTCAATTCTTGATTTTTCATAAAAGCATCGATATGCATACGAGATGCTTTTTCCATCATTAAAGTTAATACAATTGCCAGTCAGATCAGCCTTGTATATTTCCAAGGATTCTAGGTGGTCAGTTTAAAATGATTGCTTAATTAACGTGGCACTCTGGAGATTGGCTTACATGTCGGTCTCAGTGGCATAAATGAACAGGGCGATGGTATGTCTTTTATTCAAAATATCATAATGATGTTCTTGCAATCTTTTGTGTATGAAGTGCTTAGTGGACCCAATGTATATCACATCTTTTTGAAATCTGTTGTCCCTCACAGGAACACCATATACCCCTGGAGCCCTATCTTTATAGGCCTTGTCCTTCTTGTTGCATAGTAATTTATACACAGTGAGAACTTGCTTGTATGTTCACTTGGTACCTGTATTGTCAGCAATTTTTTTATATAAAAAGGTATGTAAATGCTGCTCATACTCTATCATCATGTGCCTGGGTTTAGGGTTGCAAGTTTGACTGCTGTTGGAATCTCTTTGGTTGTTGGAATTGGTCCCCTTCTATACCTATGCCTTATAGCTATGTCCTCCAGATGTTTTAGCTCTTAAAGTGTCATCCCAGTTTGTATGATGTGTAAAGGCCTGTCCTGTAAGACAGCAACTTTATCTGAAAAAGGGTCAACAGAACTTGCCAAAATAAATAATGCTAAAATAGCTGAGTTTGTAACAAAGTTTCTACATGGCCCTTGCTGAAATGAATGTTAATATCTAAGAAGTGTATACTGGTATTACTTATCTGATCTAATTTACGGGTTAGTCCATATGAGTTATCATTCATGCTTTGTAAACAAGCATCTACATCTGGCTCAATTTTCCAAAGAACAAACAGGTCATCAACATATTACTTGTAGACAACAATGTTCAGTATGAATTCAAGTATAACTTTTTCTCCAAAAGATACATGAATAACTCGCACAGGTTCCCTGAAAGGAGGCTGACCATGGGCACTCCCTGTTTTTTGTAAGTATGAACTGTTATTAAATTGGAATACAGAGGTATAATACATCAGGTGTGTGAGTTCCAAGACCTTTTTCTGTGAGTAGGTGACATTATGTTACAGAATTTATTTTGCCATTTTTGACAAGAAAATTTAATTTTATTTTAGAATCTGGAATTTTCTATGTAAATTGTTTCTGATAGCTTTTCTTTCAAACAAACAAATAAAATTACTTTATTTAGTGTATATATATTATCAATAATTATTAAATAATTAAAATTATTAATAAAATAATATAAAATAATAAACAAATAAAAT